GGAGCCACACCAGCTTTCTTGGGAAGTTTGTTTATATCTACCCTTAGAGGAACACTCTAAGACTGCAGGCTGTATGACCATCCTACATGTAGCTGTCAAATACAACGTCACAAAATAAACCAGAGCATACCATTCCTGCTGGATAGACTATAACATTTTTTGATAAATACTTATTTAAGTGGAATTTGACAAGCAGGATACGTTGGATACTAGGATTTAATGCATTTTCAGTGGGATCTTATAAGTTTTAAAATGTGCTCTCAGATTTTGCTATAGAGACAGTTCAACTTTAGCATATCTCAGGATAATGATCTTTAAGGGCATTATGTACTTAGCTGACACAAATAACACTTTAATTACAGTTAATATGAGTCAGATTTTGTTTTGAATTCCATGATGTCAAACCTGGCATGCTCCTTTAAGAAGTCTTTACAGAGAGTGCAATAGTTTTTTTCTGCAACTCATCTAGACTTTTCGGGTCAGTATGACCTCAAACAGAGCATGATGTCCTTTGAGATCCTTTTCAAATAAAGTAGTCACAGTCAAAGCCAACACTTCTTTCACTTAAGAAGCCTCTGTGACTTCAGCTGGTGAAATCTATCATGCATCAAGAGGCAGTATTCCTTGTATTCCTTATTTACATTGAAATGCAGATGCAACTGAGCTCTGATTTCAGAAGCATCACCACTTGTACTGGAAATTTTTGTGTACAAGTGTAGGGACTCTGAAGAGATAGGCTGTTAAGCATACAGCACAGGGATGTAGATTCTGTAAAAGCTTATGTAAATTCTGGTCTTTTAGTTATTTAGATAGCACAGGAAACGAGGCTCCTGGAAGTTACTAGACAACAAGAATAGCCCAGTTGATTTATGCATTAGCCCAGGGTATTTATGCGTTACCCATTATTAAAGTATCTGCAAATCCAGTCTCTTACACTAACAGTCAATTGGAACCAATGTCAGTTAATTCATTACATTTGCCAACATATAACATCTGGCGTTTTTACTGATATCATAAGTTGTCTTTCATATCCCATCATCCCTCAATAGTTTAGTAGACAGCTGTAAACATGCCATATGCCTTACTAGGATTTCACTAGATAGCTCAGTGAATTTAACACACTAGGCTGATAACAGCAGATGTTTACCTACCATTGCCTTTCTAAGGAGTTGCAATTGACTACAGGAGGCCTTTAGAAAAATCCACAAGACTACTTTTTTTTCTACACACAGTGCTGGTCAAGTGCTCATGGATGCTATTTTGTTAGCCTGATCCATAAAGCATATATACACAATTCATCAAGTTCAATAGGGATATTCATCCAAGACAGATTTATACCTCCACATAATCCTGCAGGCAGCTACTTAGTCATAGGCAGTAAGGCCAAACAGGACCATTATGATAGCATAGTCTGACCTCCTGCATAACACGGGGCAGTGGACGTCACCCAATAATTTATGCTTCAAGACCATAACTTCTGTTGGAGTTATAGCTTCTCTTTTAGAAAGATCTTCAGTCATACCTTAAATACCCTAAGTGGAGGTGAAACCATTACATGTCTAGGAAGTTGTTCCAGTGATTAATAAACCTTACCAGTAAGAGACTGCCTTATCTCTACTGTGAATTTACATAGCACCAGTTTTTGCCATTGAATTTCTTTATAGTTTTTACATTCAGCTGGAAAAGGTATCTGTTATTTTTCCCTACAAAGACACTTGACTACAAGTCACATCTTAACCTTCACTTGAAGAAGTTAATAGACCAAGTAGACACCTCTGAAGATACAGCATGTCCTTATATTCTAATTAATTTTGTAGTTCTCTGCACTTATTTTTAATATATTCTTTCTGAAATTTGACACCCAAAGGGGCCACACCAATTCTATACCACTAAGACAACTGTTTCTTACTTATTACACAGACACTCATGCTTAGTGAACAAATCATCACAACCTTGTGTCCTCATAAATCTAGGAAAAATTATTTCAGTAGAATAGCTTTAGAACAGCAATTAAAAACGGAGAAGCAATTAAACATGTGTATAGATATCTTGGTATGTAATTCCCACCGATAGGAAGAAAAATACTTGATCCTGGATTTGAAATCATACAGCATTAACAGTTACTGCTTAGCCTACTGCCTTCATCTATGGTGAAGCCTAATTTTTTTCAGTATCGATATAATTGTCTTCATTTGTTTCACAACTCAGGACAGAGAATGTTATTGCACTTTTACTATATAAGGATTATGTGATACTGATACCAAGTCTAATACTGGACACCACCGAAGACAGGATTCAGTTTGTTGTCAAATACAAGGATTGCTTGTAACTAAGTACCAGAAGTAAGACCAACTTCATGTATTTTTAGAATGCCCAATTTTATCTAAACTTCATATATGGGTGTGTCATTTTTAGCTTTAGGCTGCATTTCAGTTCCCAGAACCCTAAAAAAATCCCCCTAACAACAAAACCACAAACTTCTGACATTTTCACCCACAGTCAGTTTTGAGAGGAAAGAAGCCTTTTCCCAGTGAAGCCTGTATTGTTAGAAAATGAGTAAATATAAACAAGTAATTAGTTCTACTTGATGTTATTCAGAAGTGTTGGACAATTAAATAAGCCCCAAACTTCTGAAAGTTTATGTGTGGGAAAAAGCACTCCAAATAGCACCCACTAATCCATTCCTTAGCTTGAGCCAGGATTTTTTCTGTTTCTGTGTCAGGATGTCTCCCAGGAAACTGAAGCAAGCAGTCACTTCTCAACTCCCCACAGATTTGTGTACTCTCCATTTTTTTCTTCCCTCTAGTTCTGTTGGGCAGCTTAATCATTTCTCTTTAACTGATTGTGCAGTGTGCATGCATATACATGCTCTTATTTATGTACACACATACATGTGTGTCTATTTATGCCAGCTGAATTAGCTATTATTTCTTTATGGAGAGGACTGAATGTGCAGAAAGCTTTGTCTGGGCTGTGTACCAGCTCTTCACATAGGCCAAGCCAATTACTATAACTGCTAAAGAGTGATGCTCAGCTGAAAATTAGTTGTACTTGTCCCTCGTGAACACAGGAGGTGTCTCACACAAGCAGAAAGAAAAATTCAACTCTAAGTTTCTAAAAGTTTCCTGCTGTCTGATTAACAGCAACTGTTTGACACTGGGCTCTTCTTTAAATTTTGTAACTTCAACTTCAGGATCCAAGGTGACTGTATTGCATTTAAAAAAACCCCCAAACCAACAGAACTAGAGAATCTCTGAGGGCAAATCAAATTTATATTGACAGAGATGCAACATATTTTTTCTTCATGCTTTGGCTATCCAAACTGCTAATATGCATTGAGTAATAATAATAACAACAACATAATATCATAACATAATATATATAATAATATATAACATGTGTTATAATATATAGATGTTATTATATATTACATTATATATATAATATATAATAACATAACATCAAATTCCAGATTCATAGCCACCCAGGATGGTTGCTCCTTTTAGTGATAAGACAAATACCAGAGCTAATGGGGTTAGGGGATTTCAGTTCTGACTGAAACAATACTAGATCACGATCCAGGGAAACTAAGTTCATGTGTCTTATTAAAAATCTGGGTGACTTAATTATTAGCATTAACAATTAGAAGTTAAACACGTTGTGAAGATGATATGTTTAATGAAACCCATGCCTCAGGCACCAGAGTTGGCAAAGCTTTTCTGCATATTTAATGCATTTCACAACTTATCAAGATTTGGCTGTCTGCTAAAGATTATCCTTGTGTACAGGGGACTGGAAAATACACAGGTCAAAGCCTTGCCCTAGCAGGTGCCTCTGCCTTTCTGAAATAGGATTTCAACAGTGCTACTGGCAGCCCATTAGACATACAGGTGAAACTGTAACACACTGGTACAAAAGAGACCTAGTCTTCCTCCTCTGTTCTGGCCCTCTCTGTTACAGGTAAAGAAACATAAGCAGAAAGTTAATGTGGAAGTCAGCATAGCACTAGGAGCTGTGTTTACCAGCCAATGACTTAGCTGTTAGAGATCTCATTTGTATTATCTTTGTTATATGGCTCATTTCTCTGCTGTAGTTTCAAGCCTGGCTTACCATTCACATATCCTATTCTTCATTCAGGCACTAAAAAAAGGAACGTGCTCATGTCAAGCCCAATATTTGGCAATCTCCATACATGTTTTAAAATAAAAGGGCCAAACATATACGTACAATCTTGTTCTTGTGACTGGAAGTGGACTGCACTCATTAGCTATCGATCCTGCCACATTTTCTGAGTGAAAAGCCCTAATTCTTATGAGACTATTCTCGGGTGCTTCCATAGTTTTTAACACATCAATAACCCTCACATCTTTGCTGCTACACAGATCTTCATTCCCCTACTTTCACTAAGGTGGCAGACTGAAAGACCTCACTAGCACACCATCGTTCAAACATCACCCCAGGTGAGCCTGGTTCAATTATAGATTTTACTTTTCAGAGCTTATTACTGTTAATAACACAAGCTTAAGGTTTTTGAGATGATCTTATTTTTGAAAGGCTATGAGAACATTCAATAAAACAAGGGCTTTTTTACCACTACTTAACCTCACTTCTTTCAAACACAGGAATTTCCTGAATCTTCTGTTAAATTTGTGACACATATTGTCAAATGGACACATTTTAACTGAAGACATATGGCTTCAGAGTCCTTTGCATCCAGAACCAAGTACTGAATAACTTAAACCAAGTAAAGCAGAAACAGCCAGAAAGAAAAAATAAAAATAGGCTGGGCACTCGTGAGAAGTGCAGGCAACAATGATAAAAACTGTTTCCCTAAAAGGCTTCATATATTACTAATATTGTAAGAGAAAGACATCAAGAGGATGACAGCATATGTCCCCCAGTGAACACTAAGTCCAAAGTACATTTATACATAATACTGACTTTCTAGATAGCAATCTTGAGTGACTGAAGTAAACCACTTTAAAGGACCTTTGACTTACCCTCACTCTCAGTGTTGCAGGTACTGTGGCAAGTCCCTCTTACTCTGGAAAACACGAGTTGGTTCTCAGTCCACTTCTGCTGCTTTGCCTAAAAGGGAAAAGAAGCTGTCTTAGCAACACAGAAGGAAATTTTTAATTTACCACATTAGAAAGAAGCACTTCTGCAACCCTTTTCTAGGCTCCTTTCACCGACCTCCTTACCCCCAAAGCATCCACATGGGCTGCACTCTCACACTAACCAAAAGCAACCACATGCACTCACAAAGCTGCTGAGCATGCGACTGGGTGAAGGTAACGCTGCCAGAACAGCTGAACCTCATTACCCTTAATGAGACCAGCTCCAAGTTTCAACTGAGAGACAGGTGCTGAGACTGGCACTTTTATTATGCCTGGGTGCGGTTTATTTAGTGACAAGCTGTGGATGCACTTAAATAAATGTTGTACATGATGTAAAGATTTTCACTCTATCACAGGCAAAGCTGACTGACATTGACACATTTAGTTATGCTTGAGAGAATCTTTTATCTGGCAGAATATTTTACAGGTGCTTATACTGTAATTCAACAGGATTGCATGACTCATTTGATAATTAGTGTGAGGCCTTTTAACAAGCACAAACAAGAACCCAGGAAATGAATACCTTCCAAGAAACTTCATTCTCACCTTGCAAGGGCTATATACCAGAGTGAGGAGTGGCTGAAGTAGGCTGACCATACCATATTGGTGATTGCTAGTACAAGTTTGCTGCAAAGCCAAGTTAGAGACATTAGCAGTTCAAGTTAATTTCATTATATTTTGTTTTTCAGAATAAATATCATATGGGAAAAAAGTTTAGCATAAAAACAGGCAACAAAAATAATGTCACCTGCACTTGTCGAGTATACTATGGATTTGATATTCATATATTCATATGCAGAAGTTAAGAAGTCATGGCAATATGTATATTGTTGTTTCTAATAGGTGTCGATTAAACTATTAGGAGCTTTAAGAGAAAGATGCTCAAGTTATTATTCATGTAACACTTCATAATTTTTCAGCTACAGTATAATTGCACAAGTTATTGGGTAAGGGACCTACTGTAAAACTATGTCCAGTGTAAAGCTAGGGGAAAGAATGCATAAAAAGTATGCAGGCAGCTAAGGATTATGTTAGCAAACCTCCCTAGGTCCATATTGCCTAATGACCTTGTTCTTTGAATTTCCATTTCTGTCACCCTGCAGGGACATTGCCATAGGCAGAGCATACAGTGAGAAATAAATCCTGGACATACTCAGGTGGATAGCAACACAAACACACATACACATCCATTTTGTTATGGCCCACCTTACTGAACTTAGATGACTTGTTCCACCTAAGTTTGTGATGAAGTAATCCAAACTAGTTTATCTCCTGCCACCTGCTGAAGGTTCACCATTTTCTGACAGTCAAATGAGCATTTTAAGAAGAAGTAATAGCCTTGATTAAAAGAACAGAAAAAACATTGGAAAAAAAAGCACAGTATCTTGCAGGCACTGAGCTCATCAGCCCATGGCAGGCTGTGCAGAACACAATTTCAGACACAAAGACGGGCTGAGTGCCTGAAAGCTTGTCTTTTATCCAAGAATATCAGTCTAATAAAAACTATTAAATGTGCCTGCAGATTTTGTCTCCTTTATACTCTTAGACTATCATGGCTTCACAAATGATCTTACAAATATCTGGGAACCACTGCTGGCAGGGATGGGTGAGTTCCAGCAATGCTACTCCCTGCCAGGCCACCCCTCTCATTTCCCAGGCAGAAATAAAAATGTGTGCTCCTTGTAAGAGTACTTTGAAGGGAGGATGGCCATTATGTTCACCACAATTAGAAGACTTGTAAGAACTATGCTTTGGGATTATAAAAGAACAACCTTGCTACTTTTTATGTCTCCAGTTCAAAGATGCCAATCCTGCCCATGTATGTTGAAATAAGGCTGATTTAGACCACAAGATACAGATTGTTACAGATAAATTGCCAACTTCAGGCCAAAGTAGCAATAAAATACAGCTTTTAAAGAGGCAGGTAGAGCTCTGAGAGAAATGAATCAACCTTTCCCATTCATCGCTGACCTTTCACAGTATGTGAAAACTCAGTCAAAAACTAAAAAAGCCAAACCAAAAACCCCAAACCAACCCCAAACCTTTTTTTTTTTTTACTAAACACCACAGCTGGATTTACTAAAATTATAGTTGAGACCACTGGAAAATTGCTAGGATGATGAAACAGCTTGTATCATAACCACCACTTTCATTCTGCTATGTGGTTTAAAAACTCATCTGATTTACTCTATATCATTTTTCTTGTCTGAAAAGAATATTGCTACGCAATCCTTAGTGGTTAAAACTATGGCTGAGTCATTCTACTTTGACACAGTTGACTTATCCTTCAGAAAGCCTGCTCCCACCACATTGTTTGGACAGTGATTGGAGATGCTTTGGATTCTGCAGAGATGTCCCATAGAAGGAGACTCTGTATATATCCCCACAGCTCAAATCCATACAGGAAGATCCTTGGAAGCTAAGGACCAGCCAAGAAAATGCATGCAAGAAGGAGTGTAACAGCAAATGCAACAAAGTATATTTCAGCAGTTGTTAGCCTCTTTCACATTTTGACCAGAGGGTATTCTGGACAATAGGCTGCTCTCACACATCTCAGCTTCCCACTTCATTGAGAGATTATGATCTGTCTACAGCAGATTATCCATTTCACAGGCTGATTATTCATAATGGAAGAAAGAACAGATGCAAGAGACTGAGGACTGGGAGAAATGAGAGATTAAGACAAGGTTGAAGGACAGTCTGAAATGCATTGGAGAAAGGTAGAGAGGCAGAAGGTCTACCAAATAAACTCACTATAACAGGATCACTTTTCATTATCTTTCATTTCTGCTCATCAATGCTGCATGGACATCCCATGCTGGATTGCCAATCCATTAGGCCTGTTACTCCTATTGCTTGTGGCACCACACGCTATAAATATGCCAGCTCTGAACACGAGGGATGTAGCAAGTATACCCCTGTAAACTTGCCAAATTTTCACTGCATGTGCCACCCATGAATTAAGACCCCGATTTTCTCTCATGAATAATGATTTCTCCCTCCCCAACAATAAAATCTTTAGCAGTCACTGAATGTGCTCTGTCCCAGACCTCAGCATCCCCCTCATTAACTATATGGCACCAACTGGTTTATCATCTGAGAACATACTACACGGCTGGTGAGATTAGTCAGGGAAAAGAAAACAACTACATCAAAACAAATACTTATTTAAAACAACCTTATGATAAAAATTGTTCTTTGGCTCTCATACCCCAGGAGTAATAATAGTCGATACTGGTGAAAGTGGAAGTTCAGATACGATACAGTCTTAAATGATCAGAGACAAAAAAATCCAGCAGATTAGGCTCTCAGCTCATAAAAAAAAACACCCTCCACGTTAGATTTAACATATTTACTGCATTCTCCTAAGGATGCATAGTAAAAAGTGTATTTCGTACTGTGCAGGATGTATCCCAATTCTATTCCATTTCACTTGAGAGTCTTGTTTTCACTGATTTTAAGCAACTTCCTTCTGATCTGGGCTCAGTGAAAAAAGGAGTTAGATACAGTCTGTGTAAAAGATCAAGCCAGGTTTATCTATTCTGTAGCTTGTTCTCACTGCATAGTGAGACCTTACAGTGAATATGGGTAGACATTCTGTGGTTAAGTAAAGCTGCTCTAAGCAGGTGGATTTAAGTGCTTTCCAAGGGACTCCTGGCAGCTAACATGCATGTAGCCACAGAAAAGGAAACAAGCCCATGACCCTGTGCTGGAGCACAGGGTTAAAATGTAATTTAATGGTCAGGGTTAAAATACAATTTAAACACAGCATCTTTCCCTGGAACAAAATGGTACAGAAGTGAGTTAAAGAAATTTTTTCACTCCCCAACTGCCCCTTGAGCTATACAAGAGACAGAAAATATAACCAGGTCTGGCCCAAAATACTGATAATGTCTTTAACATCTGTCACCTCTGAATGTACAAAGCCCAAGCTTTATCACACACAAAGCCCAAGCTTTATCACAACATAACTATGGATTCTTTGATACCATAAGAAAAAGATGAAGTAGATTTTATTATATGGAATCTATTACCAACCGTTTATCACATGTATCATCATTTCCAAGTGCATGTTTATGTTGGATATTTTGTGATTCACTTTCGCAAATGCTGCAGTCGTAATGACAGGTACCACATACAACACTAACAATTATGGAAGATCATTCTTCAGTATTTCTCTAACAATACCTTTCTTTATCCTGAAGTACACAGCTGATTGCAATAACACTTAGTCTGAGATTTTTTAAGTCCATGATGTACGCATTGATCAGCAGCTGAGAGGTAAGAACCAGGGGATGTCCTCACTTCCAGATAACCAGCCTTGCCAGAGAAGGGCTCCACTGTCACTCTCAGGATTTTCCCTAGGATTATTAACACTATTCAAGATGAAACAGGAAAATGCCATATTATAAAAAACAAACAAACAAACAAACAACCCCCCACCCCCCAAAAACCCAAACAACAACCCAACAACAATAAAACCTCAACAAAATCAGAATAGAACGAATGCTTTCTAGTTTAGATGTGGGTTTTATGCTGCCAGATATGGACTTCTAAGGTATTATAACAGTACTAAACACAGTTTATTATTAGAATCTAGGAATCATGAAAATACAAAGGCAACACATTTAAAGTTAGGCACAAAACCTTAATGCTACCATTTTGTAATTTTTGAATGCATAACAATATAGTTTTCTTATTGCAGCATTTTTAGTTAGGATCTTTTTAATCCTGAGGATTCTGTGAATGTAAAATCATTCAAAACCTAAAATTGCCAATGCTTTAATTTCTATAAATTTAGAAATATTTAGGTGTACCTAGGGAAAAAAAATAAATATTAGGACCTACCTTTCTCTCTTCCCTCCAGTATCATTCAAAACAATCCATTAACAGCACATATAAGGATAGTAGTTTATAATAAGAACCCAAACTTTGCAAAAGGTAAGTATAGCACAAGAAGAAACATTTACTCA